TCCACGTCGTCCGAAGTAGGCTAACTCCCTTAACATACATATTGTCAAATAACACAGCATGTCATCATACTTCTTTCAAACTATTTTACGTCAGAGGAGGAAGGTGAAAAAAGTTGTTCACTCTTCACTTAAAATCTTACTTGTTCTGGCAATGCGCTAAGGCCAAAATCTGAAATCTTTAAATTTCCTTGGGAATCAAGTAAAAGATTTTCAGGCTGTAAATATAGAAGAAAACAAGTAAGAATTGCGAAATCCGAACAAAGAAAAACAGCAACAAGGATGTTAAGAAAAAGGACACCTTCAAATCTCTGTGGTAGACTCCCTTACTATGGCAAAGTTCCACACCATCAATAAGCTGTTGGAAATATCTTCTAGCTTTGGCTTCACTAAGACGACCATTTTGAATCTGCAAGATTACCAATTTACCGTCGGCCTTTAAAACAAACCTGATAACGCAACCAAAGTTGGATCTTTGCTTCTAAGATACTTACTATTTTATCGAACAATTCACCACCAGCAATGAACTCCAAGATTATATAAATCTTAGTTCGACTTGCTATAAACTAACAAATCAAAACTAATAATTTGTTAGAAATCAACTAAATATGAACCCATATATTTAATAATTAATGCTACGGTGATACTAGCGAATTACTTACCTCGTGCAAACGAACAACATAAGGATGTCTAACAAGCTTCATTATAGATATCTCCCTTTTGATCTGAAATATTTAATAAATAAAGAAGGAAAATACAATTCGTGATTAGCTTCAACAGAAACTCAAACTTTCAACTTATACCCAAACTTGCAAATCATATTTAAGAACCGATAACTCTGACTATGATTTAAGCAATGGTAATTTATCAAAATCACCTATAATCCAGTAAAACTACATAAAAAATAGACAAAATTAAATAAAATTTCTCTTATATTATACGTTCAACAAATTTTTCACGAAGTTACCAAAATCTCATTTCACTAACATAAGAGATGGAAATTTGACCTGATCCACCATTTTGTGTTTGAATGTAAAATTAAGATTAAGGAAAAATGTAAAATTAAGGCAGCTTAAAATGTTATAAAATATTATTATAATTTTAAATGAATGTAATTTAAAATATTAAAAAATTAATATTTTAATTAAACTAAAAATATTATATAGAAAATAACATTTTATATTACTAACCGAAAATAGCATTAATGCTCACCATGGGCTCAATAATTGGTTTTAGGGAGATTATTAATCCTCAAACATCAGCCACATGATTTTTTTCATACAAAATAGAAAAGAAATAATAAAATTAATACAGGTCATCAAAATTTATCTAATGGGTGTATTTTTGAAATGGAATTATGAGGTAGAAAATTTAACTTATATGGAATGTTGAGAAAATATTTTTCAACCGAGATTAAATAAATAGTGTACAAAAAAAATATCATTTTATGTTTGAGAAAATAACCTCAGTGACCAAAAATCTCAGATAATATACGATTTTGATTAATTTTTTTTGGATTTACGAAAATGACCAACAAAATCGCAATGCGATCTCTAATTCGCATTGCGATCTCCACTATCGCAAATTCGCGTTGCATTTCGCGTTTCGATAATTGAAAATCGCGTTGCGATTTTCCATTTCGCGTTGCGATAGTTGAAAATCACGTTGCGATACTTGAAAATCGCGTTGCGATTTTCCATTTCGCGTTGCGATTTTCCAGTTCGCGTTGCGATAGTTGAAAATCGCGTTGCGATAGTCTACAGTTGTCGTTGCGATTTTCCAAATTCGTTGCGATAGTCTACAGTTGTCGTTGCGATTTTCCAAATTCGTTGCGAAAATCGCGTTGCGATTTTCCAGTTCCCGTTGCGATAGTTAAATCGCGTTGCGATTTTCCAGTTCGCATTGCGATAGTTGAAAATCACGTTGCGATAGTCTACAGTTGTCGTTGCGATAGTCTACAGTTGTCGATTTTCCAAATTCGTTGTGACAGTTAAAAAAAAGATTTTGTTTCTTAAGAATTTTCTCTAAAAAGATAGTATTCGCGCGGACGTGTCGAAGACACGTATTACCACGACCACGACCACGACCACGACCACGACCACGACCACGAGACGGACGGCGGCGGCGGCGCGCGAGAGTCCCCCTTGTTCTCTATCACTCAACAAGGAAGTGGGAAAGCTAAGCCTTAAATACCATTCTCAATAGTGTTTTCAATACTATGTGGGATTGAGCATTACCAACACTTGTTTTCAATACAATGTGATTATTCATGAAACAATTAACAATCATGCACCTTAAAACAACTGAATCAGCAACCAATTGCATTAGTATTATACGATTAAATATGTTATAATTAAAAGTCAATCTATAATCAATCGCGATTATTGCAATTTTAAGCAAAACATTCAAAAATAATATCACTATTTAAGGCTCAATCCCACATAGTATTGGGAACAAGTGTTGGTAATGCTCAAATCTCACATAATATTGGAAACACTATTGGGAATGGTATTTAAGGCTTGGCTTTCTCACTTCCTTGTTGAGTGATAGAGAATAAGGGGGACTCTCGCGCGCCGCCGTCGCCGTCCGTCTCGAGTCGTGGTCGTGGTAATACGTGTCTTTGACATGTCCGCGCGGATATTATCTTTTTAGAGAAAATTCTTAAGAAACAAAATCTTTTTTTTTTAACTATCGCAACAAATTTGGAAAATCGCAACGACAACTGTAGACTTTCGCAACAACAACTGTAGACTATCTCAACGAATTTGGAAAATCGCAACGACATTGTAGACTATCGCAACGCGAAATGAAAAATCGCAACGCGATTTTCAACTATAGCAACGCGAAATGGAAAATCGCAACGCGATTTTCAACTATCGCAACGCGAAATGGAAAATCGCAACGCGATTTTCAACTATCGCAACGCGAAATGCAACGCGAATTTACGATAGTGGAGATCGCAATGCGAATTAGAGATCGCATTGCGATTTTGTTGGTCATTTTCGCAAATCCAAAAAAAATTGGTCAAAATCGTATATTATCTGGGATTTTTGGTTGCTGAAGTTATTTTCTCTTTTATGTTTTTAGGAAGACGCCTAAAAGATAGATATAATACATATAGTTAAAATGTTAAATCTAACATAATAGCAAAAAAAAAAAAGATGACGCATTTTTTATACGTCCTCCCAAAGCGTCCATTAATTTAACACTTTTTCACCAGCATATTATTTAAAAAATAATAATTATCTTAACATTTTATACCAGCCAAATATTTTAATACCCCATCTAAACATTTTTACCAGAATAATTTTAATATAAATTCAAAAAATCTAAAAAAAAATTCTACTCTATAATCAAATATTATTAATGTCCTTCTCTATCTAAAAATATACGATTAGGATTGAAAGAGAAAATGGATAATTCCCCATTGCAAGTTCCAATCAAACTTTGATTCGTGGGGACGGGAGAAATGGGAGGCCAATCAGTCATATCATCCTCTACTTTCCTTTTTTTTATATATTTTTATCGATTTTCATTATAAAATAAAATTAATTAACTAAAATAAATTTAAAAGTAAAAAATTAAAATTAATATAAAAATAAAAAATGATTTCATTTAAGATGGAATTTTATAAAATCCGACTAAAGCCAATTGATTTCACCCTGATTCCTGCCAACCCTATAGAACTGGATCACGCGGTCTTTAAAAGTAAAAAATTACAACCTAAACATAGTTAACATAGAATTTTTTTTTTTAAAAAAAGAAGAAAATTACAACTTCCAAGGTTTCCTTCTGAGGTCTATAGGAACTGCAGACGGACCTGCCTTGCCATGGAGCTGGATAGGCTATTTCTCGTTGAATAATCTAATTACTTCATTTAGTGGTTGTTCATTGATGTTAGCTTCAAAAATGGTTTGTCTTGTGTTGAAAAAATAATATATACGTATTTGCTTATTTCCAACATAGTAGCCTAACAAACTGCATTCACTTTTTCCCCAATTCTCGATTCCCAGTTGTCCCTGCAATGCTTTTCAGTATTTCTAAGAGTCGAGCTTTATCGATAAGGCTAATAAATGAAGTAAACAGAGTCCACATTAGGAGCATCCAAATATTCAAATAACTTGATATTATCTTTTATCCTTCTTCATGGGAAAGCTGTAGAAGCCTGCCATTGGCATTAACGAGGAAAGATTGGTACCTTGGGCTGAACCAAGTTTCGTTTCTCAATCATATGGTTTCCCTTAGCTACCACTGAATTTTAATTTTCGCCGACAGATCAATGAATAACCGCAAGGGATGTTAGTACGGTTGCTGCAGGTTCTCACTCACGTCTTAAAATGAACCACTGAATCTAGTAGTGAGTTTGAGGAAGTTGGAGAAAGGGTGTCCAGAATTCCATGCCGAGATGGCAGTAATGGGTTCCTATTCGGGTAGCTCGTGACACACGGTGGAATGTGACGGAGAAGCTGAAGCCATTAGTGTTAAATACTGCTTATGGAAGATGGCGTCTGCTAGCCATTGTAGGCCATGAAGATCAGGTTAATAGTAGTCATCACAAGGGGAGGTAGTGTGAGGGCTGACAAGTATATGAAGTAAGATGCATATATTAAATACACAGCAGAACACCTTGGATTCTCCTGGACCTGGTAGCTTGACTATAATGTTGGAAGCAATGGAAGTAAAAGTTAACAACACCGAGATACAGATATAGACCAAATCCGGATCCAAGGAAGGTCCAAAATATGTATTTTTTGCAACTTTCTGATGACCCCAGAAGTAACATGGGCCAACAATCAAACATAGAATTAAAACTTAGCATCAGCCGCAATTCTCTCAAAAAGATCAGACAACATTGGAGTAATGAACTTGTTAAAACGTAAAATATTTCTTTTTCTACTTTCACCAAGGTTTAAGGATTTTATAACTTTAAAGGTTTGCCTGATGGAAATATACTGCTCAAGTTACAGCCATTACGAACATAAACTAGTCATGTTAACACCATTTAAAAAATAAAATAAAATAAAATAAATTGTTGAAAAGTTCCATAAGACATCGAAGAATTCACCAAAACCTATTATAGTTATAACTTGACAAACAAAACAATACCATCAAATTGTTAATTCAAATCACGCAGATGAAGATTGGGGAGGAACCTTAGCGTTCACCGAAACTTTACCATCCTGATTTATTGCCGAAACACCACCCGCAGGCGTCACCGGTGCAATCGCCTGGTATGGCGCCGCTGTGAAATACACCTGCCTTCCAGCCCCGTCATAAGCCACCTGTACATATCCTGACTCAGGCACACCACTCTTGGGCAGCATAACTGGGATTCCCTCAGGATAAGCAGCAACCTTTGAGGCTGGCATCGCATTGTAAACCGGCTGCTCTCGGTAAACATCCTGAACAACATGCTGTACACCATAATAAGGTTGACCGCCTGGTATGGTCATCTGTCGTATTGTTGGAGGCTGCTGATAAACACCAGCAGCAGGAGCTGGAATCAGGTAAACCGGTTGGTTTCCCAGGGCAGCGGCTGCGGCCGCAGGTACTGGATAAGCAGCGTTGGTTAAATACGCAGTTTGAATCGGCACTTGCATCGGAGCTGATACTGGTGCTGGTGAAGGGGCGATCTTATCTGCCATCTGAGAATAATCTTGAACATTGTAAGCTCTATCATTTGATCCATCGACTTTTCTCTGCATAATGCCTTGTTCTTGAGTAGCAGATATATGCATATTCTGTAACTCATGGATCTGCCTCTGGATCTCTGCTGGAGACATCATTGGGTCCACAATCACATGCCTGTCCTCCGATCCACAGTCCGATCCCACCGTTACATCCTTCACAACAACTTCCTGGGTAACTGCCGCAGCCGGGGGAGGGACAGAATCCAGCGTCTTCACCTTATCCAATCCGAAGAGGAAATCGGGATTCGCCGCCGGCATCGCAGCGGCTGGATGCGAAGTGGCATCAAGGTTCTGAATCTGAACCGAATTCAAGGCGTCAACGAACCATTGCCGATCAGACTTCGGATCACTACCTTCGAATCCCGACGCCACCAGCGGTGGGTTCAACGGGAACAAGAACAACCTCAACCGGGCCGGTTTGGTGGAGACACGATGAGACCGATCATATTCCATCATCATATGCTCCAGATCTTCATCATTCGTAACGGAAATCAAAGCGTCCAGATCTTCACCGGGAAGCTGATACTTGAAACAAACCTCAGAACCCCCACCGTAAAGAGAAGACAACTTGGCCATTATAGCAGAAAACTTAATGTTGCGATCAACGGCCAGGATCTTCGTATCTCCTCCTACGTAAGCGAGCTGGTTATCATGTGAACGCGGTTGGATTTTGCCCCCATAACTGCACATAAACTTAACCTTATAATTAGCATTATTAGTAGCGTTCATCGACGGCGGCTCGTCCCATGACTGGTTTTCGCATTCGATTTCTCGAGAACGAGGCGAAGAATCGCCGGATTCCGGATAAGAGGAGCAGGAGAAGTTTTCCATGGGATTAATTTCGTGAGGTTTGTGGGATTTAATCTTAGGGTTCCATTGAAAGATGAAAAACTGCGGAGAATTGAGGTACGATTATGACTTAAAGAGCAATGCGGGCGTAGTGGACTCAGCTGGAACTGGTTGTATGGAAATAAATAATGAAGAAGCGCGAAAGCAAATGTTTTCCTCTTATCATAAAGTTTTTAATAAAATAATAATACCATTCAGGGGGTTTTTAATTATCTTTTGGTTACCGGGAACTTTGATTTTTCCAATATATTAATTTATTTTTTAATAAATCGTTTTGATTGCCTTTCGGCATTTTCTAAATTTATTTATATTGATAAAATAAATAAACAGTTAGATTTCGGTGAAATAATTCATTTGAAAAATATAACGACATAGTGCATTTTATTAATATTTAAGGATTTCAAAAACATTGTTAAAGAATATGAAATTAAAAATAAAGATACACGTTACATTCTTATTTATCATAGTATATATTTTATAGGATTTTTAAAATTAAAAAATTCTAATCATCAATAGGATTTTATAGTGCAGAGGGATGGATTCGCTTTTGGTCTGCCAATGCAGTGAAGTTGTACACTAATAAGAAAGTGGAGTTAGGTAAGAAATGCATTAGCGGCTTAAATTTGTGGAACATACCCATAGATTAAGGGAGCACTAAAGTTTTAAAGTCTATGGGGTTAATGATGGATGGTATGGTAGGTGGATATTGATGATGATTTGAACATTATAGATAAGGTTATTATCCAAGGGGATTTTAATATGTACCTTCTGCGTACACTTTTTTCACTTTCTACTCTCAGTTTCGGTCGGCTTGACACTTCATTTTTTTAAGGATGTCAAATAATCAAGAAGTTATATCGTACTACAGTCTAAATATACGATTAAAAAACGCTATCTGTTTTGTTATTATTATTTTAATAAAATATGTAAAAAAATTACTTAAAATATTATTATTTCTACCGATTTTGTTATTATTAGACATTCAGATAAATATCGATAAACTGAAAATGAATGCGATGAATGCATTAATTCATTATTTATGTGTTCTAAAAATACATTTAATTACCTCTTATTATTACTATTTTTGCCGATTAAAATGCTACAGTTTGAAATCTAATTAAATTAACTTTAAAACTATAAAATTTAATCTAACTTAAGTATGATTGAAAATATATAGTTAGGTGACTAAAACAAAATTATTCATATAGTTAAGTGATTAAATATATAGCTTACCTCAAAATATATTAAAAATAAAATCAATTTAAAAATTAAGAAAATTATACAAATAATCTCCTTATAGAGTAATATTTTATTGAGTCTATTAACTATTAAAAGTTACAAAATGATCTATTGATTATATATCATTATTTTGTTGAGCCTCAGATATTAAAAGTTACAAAATATGAAAATATCATTTAATTATTTATATGTTTCAAACTAATCTTTTTATGTTAGAAAAAGGTGGTCGTCTGAGCTGAAGATTAATCTTTTGATTAGATATAATAAAATATGATATCATAATTATTTGGTTGTATTTGTGGATCGATTCTATGTCTGTATTATGCCGTTGAGTCAGTGCTTGAAAACAATAGACTCTCTGTCTACATTACTAACATATGATTTTATCTTATCTCACAGTTAGTGTATTTACGTCTAATACAAATGACTATTTATTTATTTAACGAAAAAGATAAATTAGAACATATAAATATTCGAATAATCATTCTATAACTTTTAATAATTGAGAACTAAACAAATCAAAATCTTATAATTAAAAAATATTTTCTATCTTCTAATACTTAGGGGGCGTTTGGATGGGGGAATGTGGAATTGGGGAATGTGGAATTCTCATGGGAATGGAATCCACATTCCCCCGTTTGGTTAGCCCGGGAATCTCATTCCCGGTAATGTAAGATTACCAATAGTGGATTTTTTGAGGTATATTGCCGGAAATGTCATTATCTCCCTTTCCTTAGGTATTGTTGGATTATCGGCGTTTTGGACTAAAATGTCCTTAATTTTTTTTCTTCAAAAATATCATTCTTCTGTCATTAAATAATAAAAATTATACGAAGGTTAAATAACAAATTTATCCTTAAATTATTTTAGATTTACAAAAAAAATCTATAATTAAAATTTTATATGAAGTTCAAGGTTTAAATAAATTTTTACCCTTTCTTTAACCTTTTTATATTTTCAATTTTTTAAAAAATATTATATAAATTTTATGAATTTAAATTTTTAAAGAAAATATATAAATATTTTTCAACTTATTAAAAAAATAAATATATAATAAGGATAATTTGGTCAAATATATATTTTAATAATATTTTATCCCTTTAACCAAACACGGTAATCTTACATTTCTGCTAAATCAACCAAACACAAAACACAACATTCTCGGTAATTCTATTCCCTAATAATCTTACATTCAGTGAACCAAACGCACCCTTAAGAGATTGAAGTACCAAACCATTTATATACTTTATCTAAAAATTTAAAGAGTTAAACTAGAGAGATAGTCAATTTTGTTTCATTTCTATAAATGTAAAGTCTCTCAATTCAAAAAATTTAATTCATAATCACTTTCGTATCATTTTTATTAAGATGCGATCACTAGAACATTATTCTATGTTAGTTTGATAATGTGGCATGTTAATAAAATATTTAATTTTTATTTGAACCCTTGAATTATTAATCATGTGTTTTTTTTATAAGTCTAAAATAATTCAGAAATAAAATATTAATTTTCCCCTTTTTTTTCAATATATTTTCTTCCCCGGACCTATCTTTTCCACCGCTTCCACTGCTTCTTCCCCCAAACGAAAGTGATAAAATATCCTGAATATCCTTACTCACCCGGCATTGTGAAGCAACTGCTGCAGCCACCTCCTAGTGGTTTGATCTTCACGAAGGCAACTACTAAAGGTGGCATCTCGTAACATATCTGGTAGGCAACTTCTTAACGCACCGCAAGCCCTTGGGTTATCTGACAATCGAAGATAACATCGAATAATATGTTTTAACCGTCGTGAAGAGGGTTGCACAGCAAGTGCTGCAACTATATTTCCTAGAACTCGACCAACTGTAAAAAACCGCTCTGCAGTAGTGCAAATATAGTCCAAGCCAACATCATCCAGTAGAATCTTCTGAACTATAAAAGTGGCTACTGTTTTTGATAGTTCACTACCCATCCCATCTCCATTGTGCGCAGACATAAGGGAATTATCTCAGTTGAAAGAAGGAAGCTGACAACTTTCGTATCATCAACCTCCACCAGGGCACCAATGACACCTAAGCTAGTGAGCCTCAAATACTCAAAAGGCCTTGATTTACTTGTTGTGTTAACTATTAAGGAAAGGATACAGATACAAGGGTATATGAGCATTTAGGAATAACATCCTTATGTCCACCCTTGTGTTCGGATGAGAAGCCACACTCTGAAGCAGTACAAGAGCATTACTAACTCGATTTAGTGGTGAGAGAACATGATAAATTGAGACTATCTCTGAAATAATTTCTTGTTCTCCGATAGTTTGAGAAGAGCGTTTTCTCGGAGATCAGGGTTGCTGAGATGAAGAACTAAATGTGCGGTCGTTGTCATTTTCCGATCCTTGTTCGTCGGGGCTCCGGCGGCAGCTTGATTAGACGCACTGGGTCCTCCAAAAGGCAAATTCATCGATAGAGATTGAGGCAGATTTAACTTTTGCATAAATTGCAGAAATAAGAAAATAAAAACTTTCATGTTTTAAAGAGGGAAAGTATTGTACCCGAAAAAAAGAAGAAAAACATTAGATGAAAGCAGTCTTGGTTTTTGTTTTGAAATACGAAGACAGGCTTGGTTTATGGATGAAAGAAAAGAAGATGAACGGCAAGTGGGGAAGAAGAAAAGGGTAAATTAGAACTTTATCCCTAACTATATTGAATTTATGAAAAGGTCCCTTTACTAACGGGCCACGTCAACAAATAAACGAAAATTAATATATTAATAATTATATCTTAATTAAAATAAAATGAAAATAATTAAAAATTAAATTTTTTTAAATAAAATAAAAGTGATACTCTATAGTCATCTCATATAATTTAGACTATAACTCTTGCACAATAAACCCACAACAAAGTCATCTCATCTTATTTTACCCTTCTTAGAAGTCCGCTCTTGTAGGAGCAGCCTCCCCTTGTGTTCCAAATCCAAGTGGTTCGACTTTGGTCTGTTGTTCACTGAAGTCAAAATCATGGTGAAAGCAGTGGTCGGAGAGGAAAGCCAACTCCAGCTGGCCGAAGACCGTCTTTCACAATCTTCAGCTCCGGCTCAGGTCCAATCCCTTCTATTTCCTATCAAATCACAAAGATTGATGAATTCTCAAGAATTTCACCACAAATTCATTTATGCCCGTTCGAATGCAGGTTGGTCTCGTGATAGGGAAACTCAGCTCCGGTATTGATCGCGGCTTCGTGTACGATCTAATACCCACTCCTCAAAACGACGCCGGACAATCCGCTTGTTCGGTCTTGGAGCCAGCCAAGGATAATAGGAAAAAGGGATCGAAACCCAAATCTCAGTCCTCTGATTCTTCCTCTTCTTTGGTCATCGACAAGGATTGGGTCGCTGAACATGCTCGCCAAGTGCGTTTCTTGTTTCTTTGTTTACTTTGAATTATTGGATTGGATTTGATTTTCCCCTCACAGTGTGAGAATGTTATTGAATCAAGGTGTCACGAATGATGGTGGGTGGAATCAAAGTAATCGGCATTTATGTGTGGGCTAGTGAGGTCGCATTCAAGAATTCTACCATGGTGCTTTGTCAGGTATTTCTCGGTATCTCTGCTTCATTTTTATTGAAGTTTGTCACTTATTTTTCTTTCTCCTTGGCATGTTTTCCGTTTAATAAAAATGTAATGGCTTTTGCAGACTGTGAAGGGAATTGCTGAAGCAGCATCCCTTTTGGAGGATGATCTTGATGAAAGATTGCTTATTCACATATGTTATAGCCCAAGGAGGTATTTTATAAGAACTAAACCTGTAATCATTATTTGTTATTTCTGTTTCATGTTCCCCAGTTGTTAAAGGTCAGTTTCAATTTTGATCTGAAAATGACACTTTTTTGGTAGATGGACATGTCGAAATTGTACACTGTCATCGAGTATTACATCAAGCAGCTTACGGCCTTGTGACTTCAAAATGGGAAGGGTGTTAACTTCCCTTCAAACTTTTAAGTGCTTCTACAACTTTGATCTTAGGTAACCTGTATTACCTATTCGTTTTTATCTTAATCAAATCTGTACCATCACAGAGCTCTATTATTTAGTTTGAAAATATCAGTTAAATTTGTTCTTGGGTACAAGTGAATTTCAGTCCTCTTTCTTAGCATCTATTATTTGCCTGCTTCATCATAGCTTGTATGGTCCTTTCTGCTAGTGCATTAGGTTACCATATAACAAGGCTTAATTTGCAACTTGGTTTCTCTTTTCTCATTGTTGGTTCTCTATGTACTTATGTTGACCTTTTCCTACCTACTATTTTAGCATCAAAAGAATGTCTAGTCATTTTTTATTAACTATGGTATATGTTACCCAGGCTTCCTATATATCAAGAGAAAGCATCAAAATCTGAGACACTTGTTGATGTTCTCCGTAATGGAATTTCAAATTATGTTCAAGAGTTGCGAGGTGCAAAAGCCATGATCGATGGTAACCTGGTGAGAATTACTCTAATCAGCCTTTTGAATCTCAGAGAATGTTATTCATCAATCTTCTATAATTATGGAATAATATCCATTAAATAAATCCTTCACTTTTCTACTGATAAAATGTTCTGGTCTTTTTATATTTAGGTTGTTAATGATGAAACGTGCACAACAGATGGTTTGCATGAAGTTGAGTTGCTTCTACCATTCATGAAGGATATGTACATCGGAGGTTCTCTGGCCATTTCAATTTTGAACTCAATTATCTTTTCATGTTTGTTATACTGTTAGATCTAACATTTAATAATTTGCTTAAATTTTGTGAAGCATGCAGCCAGAAAGATGTTGTAGGTATTGTCAGTTTTACTGGCTCAGTATGTTCCTTTTCATTCTTGAATTCGAAGGAACCAATTTCACAGGCTGTTGCTGATATAAAGGTACCCATTTCTTGATTTGGTGACAACTTGTCAACTTGGTCTTTTTTTAATATATATATATACACACACACGCACTAAAGAAGGGATGGAAATGCTCATCCTAAGAAATAAATGGGACTAGATGTTGCATCTTTGTGTAAGATAACAATGTCCAAGTTAGATATGTTTCAAATGTTTGTCTGACTGGATGTGATTGGAATAGAAAATTTGGAAAATATATGAAATTATCTTATTTAGTTGAGTTGACGTTGACAAGTTCAGTACAAATATGTGCACCGAGATTCTAACATTCTCTTTCAGATCAAAAGACATGCCAACCCTAAAACTTTGGTCTGAAGAGTCTCTTTCCACCTTATGTCATCTATGGTTTAAATTAGAGTTATCATACCTCTCAGTTGTAAATTGTGCTTGTGTGTGCATGGTGCTAGCTTTTTCATGTCGCTATTAATTTCTCTTATTTGACATGTCATACTTAATTTGACGATATGCTTTAAACAAGCATATAGCGGATTTTATTCTTTTGTTTATCTCTGTGATCAGGATGATATCATCAGGAGTTTGCTAAGCAGGCTGGATATCATTTGTGATGAAGCGGATGAAGATGTATGGCCAAATGAAGATGTAATTAGGGAAACAAGAAATGACTCATCGTCTGAAAAGCCGGTTTCCCAACTTGTTTTACACTCCTTGAGGTGCATTAGCATTGTTGATAAGTCTTTATTTATCAAAGAACCTAACTCTGATTAGCATACTTATTTACTGTCATTCAATTTATATTTTTTTAATCTATCAATCAATTTGAGGAGTGATACTTTCTGTTGCTTATACCTTTTTTCTGTAGGCTTTCTTATTTACTGTACATTATTATCATCAAGGCTTCATGCTAAAAATTTGAGGTTTGACTATGTAGTGGTGGCTGCATTATTATCATCATGGCTTCATGCTAATAAATTTGGAATCTGAATTTATTGTTTGACTACGTTGTGGCTGCATTGTTGATTACATGAGCAGAAATTGTACACAAGCGACTAAAAACATATCATATGCATTTCTGTATTCATTCTTAAATCATTATTTTCAATTCCTATATGTGTTTTCTTTCCTCAGTTTCCAAGTAAATTTGCATTATTCTTGTACTATTAACAAGTTGGAATAACTGATGTACTCAGGAGAACCTGCAATCTTTCATTACCTCGGAGGGTCTTTGTACAGTGGTTGGCCGGTACATTTATCAGCGACTATCTTCAACCATCAGAAACACTCGAGGTTCATCTTTGTTTAGTTGGTGGATAATATTTTTATGTGTTCAATCTTTGATAAATGAGTATTCTACCTGTCTTTATACTGTTGTATTTATTTAGTAATCGTTCTAATTTGATGTTTCCATGCTCTTGTAGGTTTTGAAAGACCATTGCGTTGAGTTGATGTGCATGGAAGCCCCAAATGATGCCTCAAAAATCTTGGAGCTCGAAGAAGAACCCGTTAGAGTGACAGCCAGACCCTTTCGGGATGTAGTCCTCCCTTACTGTTCGAGGTCGAGCACTTCCCAAGAAAAAAGCAGAGAAGTTACTAGCAAAGGAACTAGCCAGAAAGCCATCAAGTCATCCAATGTCAACTTCATTGCTGCCATCATCATCCTTCTCCTCTCACTCTTAGTAGGTACTTCCATTTTTGTCAGAAAATCATAGTGCACTGTGTGAACATTTGGTAGTAATATGGAATATTTTCAGAACCGGATATCATACGATGTTACAATGAACTTTGGCTGATGCCTGTTTTGCGTTCATTTTGGACATGCTACAACATGACATGAGTAAGATACATGTAATAAGCATGAAAACTTGATTAATAAAACAATGAGGGTACAAATTATTTAGTAAATGAAAAGAGACATCTGTTCAGTCAATTATTTTGTAATACAAACAGACTTTTTTTTAGTCAAATTGCTTTTAAAATTAAAGAATACAAATTTGATGAACAGATTAAAGAATCCTAGGAGAGTTGAACGGTGAATATTTTTGTCTCGAAAGTGACCCCCCCCCCCCCCCGCCCCCAATTAGTTGTAAACTTCCCCTCTTGAAACATTCAGCTTTGATCTTGTTGAGCAAAAAGCGGTGAATCTTCCCCCCTCAGGCTACAATATGTTGAAAACAGAGAATAAGCGTACAATACGACGCCGTTCTTAACTCTAAATTTTCTAACAAAAATGCTTAATTACCTTTTATCCACAGTGTCCACCGGACGTAGCTCACATCACAATTGTCGAAGCTATATAAAAAAAAATCAGATCAATCACAGGCTCACTTCACAAACTTGGGACAGCCTTTAAATGATTGTAACAATTAGAGGTGTACAAAAAATTCGAATATCCGATTTTGGGTAAAAAATATCCGAAACCGGATTTTGAGAAAACCGGTTTTTTTTAAACCGGATCGGATATTTAAAAACCGGATAGTATAACCGGTTTGAGAAAAAATTGAACGACCGGTTTTTTTACCGGATTAAAAATCGGTTTTTTTCAAACCGGATAAAAAACCGGTTTTTTAACCGAAAAAATCCAGTTTTTTTTTAAAACTGGTTTTTTGCAAACCGAAACCGGTTACACCGGTTACACCATCCGACCCTCCAAACCGGTTAGGATCCGAACCGGTTTTTTTAAAATCCGGTTTTTGGATTGGGAGAAAAAACCGGATCGGTTTTTATCCGATCCGGATCGGATTGAAATCCGGATTCTGTGCATCTCTAGTAACAATACCGGGTGGGTTAAAAGAATGTTAGAGGGTGAGTACCGTTTGCATAAGGCAGATCTAACTGTTGGATGACAGTCATTTCCAAGCACATACAACATGTGATGAAGGATAATGCCATGGCTCACAAATCACAATCACTATCTCCTGCTCTGGCCTTGTCCACAACCTGGAAATGGGAGGGCAGAAATAGAATTAATCAACTATTAATAAACATACCCAATATTTTTTTAATGAAGAAAATCGGTACCATTCCATAAAAAGTGCCATACGTGCAGCCATTTCCTCTTCAGACTCTCGGACGTCCGGATTCCACATGCTGTCTTCTTCTCCATCCATCTGGTCCATAACAACAAATATCAAAACCATAAGTACTTTAAACACTGATTATCATTTGATATAATGGCTAAAGAACTTGCCATTGTAAAATCAATTGAAGGGAAAAGAGGTCGACACTCGCTGACCCTCCGCCTCATATCACAGGGTCGCTGGCCCTGCATACATTGAATTAAAGGAATTGTAAGAATTTGCGTTCACAAACGTGTCAACAATATTGATGACGAAGTCAACCGATCAAAATCTAAGGCTTTAATTATTGTTTAAAATTATTTGAAGATTAATATTTTAGCTTAGCATATTTAATTTCTTTGGAAAATACAATTGAGAAACAAAAAGCCCAAAGGAGACAATCCCTGGGCTACTTTGGGCTAGTAAATCCGCTTGAGCAACTCCAGGGGCATCCTGGTAGAATCCTTTGGGAATACGAGTCGGCTTACATCAGTTATATTATGTGAGAGTAAATTATTAATTTAAATCATATTAAATAATATAAAATTCTACTCACAATAAATATGTCTAATTATTAATAAAATATTTAATAAAATTTCAATATTAATTTTATTAAATACTTTAAGTTTACAATCACGTGTAAATATGTCTAATAATTAATTAATTAATTATATTAAAATATTAAATGATTTTTTTTTAAATCTATATATTTATTTTAGTCATCATATGTATTCAATTTAATCTTATAAACGTTAATAAACATATTATTAAATAATTTTAATATATAATAAATTTAAATGTAATTAGAATAATAATTATTAATTGAATGTTTATATTAATCAAATTCATTTTATATAATTTTTAAAATTATTTACATTTAATCATATATAAAATTTGGATAAAGTACACAAATGGTCCCTCGACTATAGGACGTTGGTTTATTGAGTCCTTTGACTATTAAAAGTTATAAAATGGTCCCTCAACTATAAGATAATATTTTGTTGAGTCTCCCGGCTATTAAAAGTTACAAAATGATCACGTAACTATTCATATATTCCAAGAAAAATTGATATTTACTGGCACTATTATTGCTTTCAAGCATTGACTTGCCAACATAATGTTTCAAGCATTGGCTCGTGACATAATATAAACAGAAATTTGATCTACAAAATACAACTAAAATGATTATAGGATCATATTTTATCATATCTCAATCAATAGGTTAATGTTCATCCGATATGAACATCAATTTTTTTTTAACAAAAACTGATAAGTTTGGATCACAGGAATATTCAGACGATCATTTTATAAATTTTAATGGTCAGATGACTCAACAAAGCATTAGCCTATAGTCAGAAGACCACTTTGAAACTTTTAATAGCTATAGTACTCAAAAAAGTTACACACTATAGTTGGGGAACTATTTTTGTACTTTACCCATAATTTTTTTTTATCTATAATAACAATTATGATATATTTAAAAAAACATTATTTACGTATCACTAAGCTCACACCTTGGTTTTAGTGGAGTGTAATGACTTTTAGTATCAAAGATGTTTCGAGTGGACGGATGAGAGTAATTACTCCTAAAATTTTTAAGTTATTCGATATTTTGATTTTTTCATGTGTATTTTTTATTGATAATTACTTTTAGCCCCTAAAATTTTATAACTTTACCCTTAACATAAAATCTTATATTCGTCGTATTTAGTATGTGTATCTATTCCCTAACACACCACCTCCTAGCATATCGTTAATGTCAGTCGACCTAGAATTGATTTTTTTTGGGTTTAAAGGAGGATTAATTTGCGTTTCATAAAAAATTGCAAAATACAAATAATGATTAAAGTATACGAAAATCACTTGGTTCATTGCAGCTCAAAAATGGCCAAAGGGTAACTAATTAAGTGGCCTTTCACCAAGCAAAAGTCACAGACAACCATGGAGTAGTAGTCAGTCCATAACAATAAAACAACCTTCCGGTGTAGTGAAACGACAGCCATAGGCGAGGACATGAGTTAGCTGCCCACGTGATATAATTACCATGAGTTTATATTTAAAAATTCACCATTTTTTTACTTGGAAGTCCAAAGAGAGAGAAACAGAATTGAACACAATGGCCGTCCAAATATAAAGTAATATTATTGGTTCACATAGGTGTTTCAAATAGAGAACAGCCGAACAGGTCAATACAAAACAGATTTATCTAAAATGTCCTCTAAGGATATGCAGTTTCTTTAATGTCTTCCAGTTAAAGTAACCGGATCCGAAAGTTGATTTTGATAAATCAGTGTCAATGTCTACATCATACTAACCCCTCGAAGGGTCTGGGAGCGACTAGATCGGATCCCGACAGCTCGAAAGAAAATGGATGATACTGCCAAAGACAGACTTGTAGAAGGGTGCAACATGCCATCCCTATTTCCATATAAATGACCATAAGAAGACAAACTCTCATTATTATAGGACTTAGCAGTTCATGTTCTTTCAAATTTGTCAAATACTAAACAAATAATCGCAGTAAGTTTGCTATCAATCATGTTCTGGATATCAATCTGAATGTTCATGCTTGGTCTACACTCGGAACATGAACAACACTAATTGGCATTTCCTTCGTCTGCAAGTTTCTCGGCACTCGGAAGATCAAGGCCGCTAGGGATTTTTCCTGGATAGTTAGTTGTTGCAGGATCCGATCCCATCATACTGCAATGATAAACAACAAATATATTAAAAGAAGGGTCGCAGCAAAAAAGCGAGTTCAATTTGAATTTCTTAAGCTGTTAATCCTTACCTTCTATCAACAAGAACTACAGACGACAACTCACAGTTCAAAAAGCTGCAAAAGATGGACCGTTATTTCTTATTAATTAGTTAAATCCAAGGTTTAGGTTATCAGAACTGAAACATGTTTCCTTCTGTTGTTATCCGAAGATAAACTAACATGTAATTGCATATACAACCTTTTTCATACTGGTTAAATAACAATCAATGATTATGCAGAACTCACTCTTTGCATAGTTCGGTCTTCATTGATGGATGACAATCATGGCCAAAAGCACTTAAGGTATGGTGCAAAAATCCACCGTGCGAGACAACTGCGATTTCCTTCTCCTTACGCGTCCACAACCTGCAGGTGATGTTATATAATCTAGTCACGGTACAGTTCAGTTTTGGCATACACTTGCATTTCCTTGTTATGTTGATTCAACATAAAGGGAAAATATGCACATCGGGAAGAAACAAGGCCACTAACCAGTTCAGAAACTGCTTTCCTCTGGCTACAGCGTCTTCGTCCCTTTCGAGGGTGTCAGCAACCCATAAAACATCATTGTCACTTTCGATCTGAAAGGGAAAAAACATAACATAAATTCTTGCAGTCCGCCATTGTTGAACAATTTCTAATAATGAGAAATTGAGAATCGAGACGAAGTACTTGCCAGAGAAAAATCAATCGCGGGAAAAAGAGTCTGATACTCGCTGATGCCTTTTCTTCTGTCGCATGGATGGCCTCCCTGCGGTCCGATGGTTCAAGGAGGAATCAATGAAAATGAGATGAGAAAGTCATAAAACCAACAGTTCCAATAAAAATAAATAGGAACATCTTAGGCAATTGATACTAGCCGCAAATTCTACTACATGAACTAGCTCTTTTGAGTATACATGTCTTTATCAACTTACGGTTGGTTTTTACTTACAGTAACTACACTAGAATCAGCATAATCCATTACTCTTTTAAGCAAAGAATTTTTTAAAGTAAGCAATCAAAAAGATGACTTACATTTACCAATGAACCGAAACAGTAGGGATTATGTGACAAGTTTCCCACACATTTGATGGAGGGTTGAGCCATAGATGTCAAAAACATTCAATTTCCAGATTTTTATAATGATATGCCTAAACCATTAAATTATGATCCATCATAACCTTGCGAGTTTCTTCCAATCTTTACATGATTACGTCTATGTTGAGTCTTTGACTAATAACTATCTTGAAATGCATATCAACTGTGCCATGCATATTTCGGATTAGCACCATGGATATTCAGCAACATTTTATCTAGCTCCCCCTTGGGACATGCAAAACAACACATTAATACAGGCGTATAAATTGAACAACAACGCATCCAAAGTCTACATTTTTAAAGCAGAAAACTGGAAAGTCAAATTGCAGCAAGTAAGAGCATTAGAACCGGGATTAGACGGTGGGAGGGATCAAGTTACCTGACTTCAGAGTCAACAGGGACTTCAAAGTATTTAATCACAAAATTGGGTGGGTGGGTGGGGGGCAGGGCTCTTCTCCCTTAATTAAAAGAGATGGCTAAAATATATTGATTATTCCTAAAGCAAAGTATAGAAGTTCGATGAAGCATATAAGTATACAGTTGGATATTGAATATCCATGTTAAATTTAAGTTCAGGGTTTAACAAAGAACTAAAGCAAAATTATTACTCCATTTTAGTCTCAGTGGATAAGTCACAGTTCATTACTAATGCAATGCAATGCAAGCACGAAATTGGTAATTCACAGTATGCAACAACACATAAAAACATAAGCAGAAACACAGTGAGCTGCAAATTCTTTCGTAGGGTGCATTGGCGTCAAGCAAACACAATAAGTTAATGGATGTACCAAAATTTCTCGACAAAGTTCGAAAGCTACAAATGGTGGGCAATTCAGGCTCGAAATCTCAGGACGGCCACTTTCCCCTGCATTTGCCACCATTAGTGGAGGAACGTCAATCCCGTTCTTATACCCTTCTCCACCAAACACTCCCACCGCAGTTTGCATAGTCCTATAATACATAAAGACTCAGCTAGAGTGTGAGAAATATGATTAAATATTCGGACTAGGTATACATTAATAGAAACATCATGAATATTTCGATTCTCTGGTCAACAAACATTCACTATTAAACAATAATGTTGATTCTCACATACATATTTCCCTCTGGATTTAGTTCCTAGTCCTTTTCTATTGTTCGAAGTTACAAAAAAAAAAAGATTGTTGATTTTGCGGACTTTCAGGTGAAATGTACCATTGTTTTAACGATATGAATCTGTGCAAATAAGCCTAGGCAAGTAGGGCCTAAATTGCTGTCCTAAAGTAAGATTCATCTTTCAAATGAAAAGTTCATATGAAAAGCAAAGGAAACAAAATAATTTGACAAAAGAAACAGTTGAATAAGGAATAAACAGGGTTTCACTGATTAAAACAAGGATTAAAAAATGATGCCGAAAAGTTTTCTAAAAGCAATACTAGTAAAACAAAAAGAAGAGAAAGGAAACAAAAAGTACCCAAGAAGAGATTCTCGAGAAACAAACAAAGTGATTGAAAAGTTATAATACCTGAGCAAAGGGGAAACAATAACCAAATCCACTTTCTTGGAAAGACCAGTTTCATGAACATGCTTGCGCAGATTATCAACCTGTTATAAATTAGAATAAGGGTGGGTCACAAATGCAATCATCCTAAAGCAGTATTATTCCTACTAATGACGCCAAAGACAATCAATAGCATTGCTCAAAAACATATTTTAAAGAATAAACTCTCCAAAACTAACATTGATGCACTAGATTTCAATAACCGAGATAAGCAAACACTGATTCTAAATAAACCAAATCGCCATATATATCATTTGTTCCGTTTCCTCTTGTTGGAAAAAAATAGCACGATGATTCAACCAATGATTTTTCCATTATAAACCTGTTGCCAGCCAAGAGGCGTGAGATGGGCATCAAAATATTCTTCAGATGAACAAGCAGCAGGATCCTTCTCTCCTGCTACATTATGAACCCCCTGAGCATGCCTCACCTGCAAAACAATGACCCATTTTAAAAAACCAGATTGGCCTATCAACTTTCAACCCAAAGTTCAAATCAATAAGGAAAAAAAAAACAGAAACTGTTTAACAGAAAGAACACGAACCAGGTGGAGAGTTTTGCAACGGTGCAAAGGGTATAATCCAGGAGTAATTGTTGCATCCATCTGCAATCACCCAAAAGGAAAACGAAACAAGTTTTACATATCACTCAAATGCAACTACATCTCAAATTTATAATATTTGATTTCTGGTGTGTCTAGCCTGGTCCTCTGGCAAAAACGTGTGTGTCCCACTTTAGAAGCCATTGTTTTGGATCAGACTTCAGAGATTCTATTTTGCATTACCCACTCACATGCTCAATTGGCATCTTCCAGCTTGGTCTTGCTTCTTTATTAACTTTTTGGGTAAACTACCTATTTAGTCAACTGTCTTACCATAGTTTTGCTTCTGTCACCTAAGTTCTATTTCTATAATTTAATCACTGACGTTACTTTTCATTCAAAATTGGTCATTGGTGAAGTGGCCTAGTATGATATCAGATTCAATTTCAAAATTTATATATATATATATTCTACTAACTTCCACATATTGTCGGATTAATTTGTATGAATCAAGGCCCTTTTTATATGAATCATGCGACAAGTATTCTTGTTTACTTATTTAACGATTTTAAAAGAAATAATTTTACAAAATGGAATAAAATTATAAAAATAATAATAATAAGTATTATATTTTCAGCAGATTGTTATGATGGAAGGATTCGTTTTAAGCATAGGACCCTTATTCCCACTGTTTTGTTGGTTACCCATAGGATATAAGAAAAAAATCGATTAGAAGATTTATACTTCTTACCTTCAATTTCATTAATAATTTAGTTTACCTGTAAGTTTCAGATAAGTTCTTGGGTTCTAACACCTTAACTTTATGTTTTAATTCCTCTTTGAGGCCACTAACAAAAATGAAAACAAAGTAATCCTCCCCAGATATATGTTTTGTTGTAACAAATATGGTCTTAACTCCTTAAACTTCTCTTGATACTCTTCCACACTTCCCTTCTGCATTAACTTATTAAATTCTTCAATGATGTCTGAATAATTTATGTCACAAAACCTATGACACAAATCAGCTTCAAATTCATGCAAAGTAACCCTATGGTTTTGCATAATATAGCCATCAAGCCATGTCTCAGCCTTTCCCATTAGATACATTGTAGCTACCTCCAGTTTCTGTTCTTCTGGAACTCCCAAGAGATTAAAATATTTTTGGCATTTTCTAATCCATCCTCTAGGATTACTACCATCAAACATTTGTAACTCTAATTTCGGTCGAGGTAAGATAGAACCCGAGCTTCCAAATAAACCCTTAGATGAATTCTTATTATCATTAATTCCTTCACTGTCCATTTTAACCTCACTAGCACTGGCTACATTGTCAGGGAGCTGTAACTTTTGATTCATAGGCATAGAACTCTGAAAAGCTACTGGTTTAGATGCTAAAATGCCTGGTTCATTAGGTTGATAAGATTGCCTCTTTTTATCTCCTATCACAGTAACTTGAATAGGAATCTTGCCTGTTGCTTTGGAGGTATCTGTTTCATGGTTGTCCTTCTTCTTGTCCCCACTGGTTTCCTCTTCAGAAGTGTCCTCTCCTTCCTTGCTCCTCAGGATTTTAAGGATGCTAGACAAATATCATTTTTGTTCAGCAAACTCATATTCCAGGCTCTCCAACCTCTTCTCCTTCTGTTCCCACCATTTTTGCATCTTGCCCTCATCTCTCAAATTTGTCATTTGATTATGCAATTCCTTAATGTTCTGTTGAATGGCAGTCAATGTTGCATCATCTGCCATCGATTAAACTTTCTTCTGCTTTCCCAGTTTTTTTGAATGACCAATATCTAGGCTCTGATTACCAATTTGTTATGTTTTAGGGTTGATTGTATAGAAAATGAGAGATTTCATAAAACAAATTGAGATACAAAAAGCATGCATTTTCATTCATGATGATTTCCTCAGAATTCATGTACAACTATATATTTACAAGTACCTACAGCTGTAATACTGACAGCAAATCTAACAAACTAACTGCTAAATTGCTGACTCACATGCTCCCTTCATGTGGGCTACACCTTCTGGCACGTTATCTCCTCCAAGCCCGAAATGCCCACAGTATTTGCTTTCTTCTGTTCTGGGTTGATACCTGACTGAGCCCATGTGGGTAATTGGTTATTGGTCCCAGCCTGCTCCTTCATCCCACCCGATCCAACTCTCCTCTTTGCCTCAGCCTTAATTCCATCATGTACTACTTAAATCCCTAATTCTCTTTTAATTCCCAATTGCTCTCGATTTTCCCTAATTCTCTTCTTCGATTGATCCCAATTTCTCATGTTCAAACCCTAATTCCCCTTCAATCATAACAATTACTTGTTTGCAGGGACCCAAACAATAAATGTAGGAACTTTAGCTTCATTGTCTGCCACAAAATAGAACAATGGAAGAGGAATTGACTAATGATTCATAGCAACCTGAACCCTAAACCCACTAAATCTTGACTAAGTCTCCATAATAAAAGAATAGTCGATTCCTAATTCAGAGCATCATTCTTGTACCACTAAGCTCACACCTTGGTTTTAGTGGAGTGACATGACTTTTAGTATAGAGATGTTCCGAGTGGACGGATGAGAGTAATTACTCCTGAAATTTTTAAGTTATTCGATATTTTGAATTTTTCATGTGTATTTTTTATTAATAATTACTTTTAGCCTCTAAAATTTTATAACTTTTTCCTTAACATAAAATCTTATATCCGTCGTATTTAGTATATGTATCTATTCCCTAACACACCATCTCCTAGCATATCGTTAATGTCAGTAGACCTAAAATTGATTTTTTTGGGTTTAAAGGAGGATTAATTTGCGTTTCATAAAAAAATTGCAAAATACAAATAATGATTAAAGTATACGAAAATCACTTGGTTCATTGCAGCTCAAAAATGGCCAAAGGGTAACTAATTAAGTGGCCTTTCACCAAGCAAAAGACACAGACAACTATGGAGTAGTAGTCAGTCCATAACAATAAAAGAACCTTCCGGTGTAGTGAAACGACAGCCATAGGCGAGGACATGAGTTAGCTGCCCACGTGATATAATTACCATGAGTTTATATTTAAAAATTCACCATTTTTTTACTTGGAAGTCCAAAGAGAGAGAAACAAAAATTGAACACAATTACCGTCATATGGCCGTCCAAATATAAAGTAATAAGCCGGCCTGCCTGCATACGCTGGTTGCATGCAGCGGCACACCAAACAGTTCACATTATTAAAATCTAATCCCGCAGAATGAAAAAGAAAGAAAACAGTACTAGATATACAATTTCTTCATAAAGCACCAAGCTATGCGTGAAGTGATCCGACGGTAGCAGTTCAGCGATCATGCGCTGAAATGTGAGATGAAGTCATTATTAAGTGACGACTTCCACTTCCTCCACCGGAAATTTCTTTGGCAGATTCTCTGATTTGGAGCACTTCGTTTTCAATTCTTCCACAACATTGCTGCTTACATGTCATGGAATCCGATCCCAGTCCCATCGTGCTACAATTTTCCAGTTCAAATAACATGAAAGAATTAGACAACTTTTCTCATGTTTTTCCTTTCATGCGAATGAAATGCATTTATTCACCTTTCATGGAAAGTGATCACCGAACGAATTTCACAATTTTTAAAGCTGCATGAATGGACAATAGATGCTCAGTTATTAGTCAAATCAAAATAAGAAAGCTACACGATTTCTATGTGTATTGGTCAAAGACAGGTCAATATTAAAGAAAACAAAAGAAAGGAAAAATGTGTATGATATTAAACTTTTTGGGTAAACTACCTATTTAGTCAACTAAGTTTTACCATAGTTTTGATTCTGTCAGCTAACTTCTATTTCTATAATTTTAATCACTGACGTTACTTTTCATTAAAAATTGGTCATTGGTGAAGTGGCCTAGTATGATATCAGTTTCAATTTCAAAAAAAAAAATATTTATATATATATATATAATTTTAAATAATTATTTTTTCATAATTATAAATTTTATCAATTTAATCCCTGAACACATCATCATTGTCCCACGTCAACCACCGAAAATTCTATCAAATTTACGTGCTCCAAACTCGTGGAAACAAATCATCTTTCTAATCAGATTGAAATGGCTTTTCTTGTTCCAAAATTGATTTCATTTTTTGGAACCAATAAAGTAGGACTCTCACCAAAGGCATCTGGTGATGGATCCATAAATTTGCATCTATATATTAGATTATTGATTTTTTTAATTAATCATTCACATCTAATTTATCGATCGATTAATTCAGATCTGGTACTGTATAGGCGAGGACGATCCCTCCCTACTCAATTTATTCTATTCGTAAAAGTCAGGGTTTAAACTTCTAACCTTACTTAAAGAATCTAGTATCTCGTTTCACTCCGCCAACTGATATTACATTATTAATTATTTATTGCTCTTCACAAATTACAATGATTTTGGAATATTTTTTTTAAAAGAACTACATCGGATCCGGACCTCTGAAAAGAAAATAGATGTGATAGCGAAAGACAAGGGTGAAGCATGGCATCTATATTTCCATTTAAATGTTGTGGATGTCAAACTGAAAGTTTCTCAGCACTCGGAAGATCAAGGCCGCTAGGGAATGTTCCAGGATAGTTATTTGTTGCAGGATACTTAAGGTATGGTACAAAAATCCGCCGTGCGAAACGACTGCAGTTTCCATCTCCTTCCGCGTCAACAGCCTGCAGGAAATGTTATGTATAATCTAGTCATGGGGCAGTTCAGTTCTGGCATACACTTGCATTTCTTTGTTATGTTGATCCAACATGCAGGGAAAATATGAACATCAGGAAGAAACGGGCCACTCACCAGATCAGAAACTGCATTCCTCTGGCTACAACGTCTTCTTTTGTGGGGTGTCAGCTACCCATAAAACATCATCTTCGCTTTCCATCTGAACGGGAAAAACACAACAAAAATTCTTGCACTCTTCCATTGTTGAAACTGAGAATTGAGAGCAAGTAGTTACCTGAGACAAATCGATTGCAGGAAAGAGAGAATGATATTCGCAGATGCTTCTTCTTCTGTCACATGGGTGGACTCCCTGTGGTTCGGTGGTTCAGGGAAGAAACGATGAAAATGAGATGAGAAAGGCATAACACCAAGA